GTGCAGGAAAAAGCTTCTTGCAGAAGGTTCGACCGGAAGTATACACTTTGGATTCACAAGCAAACTAGAGGCATGAATGTTATAAGCTCTGCTGCAGCAACGAGCTCAGTGAGCTTGCGGGGAAAAACTGGTGGAATTGCAAAGAAGAGGCTCAAGTCTGGCTTCAGCAACTTCACGCTGACTTCTCCCGACTGTGCAAGGTCACTCCGACAAGCCTGTGCGATGTGGACTGCAGAGAGTTCCTGAGGAGCTGAATCGAACATCATTTCACAAAGACTGAAGACACCTGGCACACGCCTCTGTTGAGGCACTCGAGTTCCTGAGCATGGCCTCTAGATTTCTAGATGTCAGCTTGTGAACTTCTGCATGGCCAAGCTTCAGCTGGACCTCGCCACTCATTGGTTGTGTCCGGATAGTACCTGCCATGCGAGAAAGAAGAAGACATGTGTGCTCGGGCCGTTGTGAAACACCTACGGGTCAAAGTTTGTCGAATCAAACTTTCAACCATGGTCCGAAGTACCCATAGCACTGCGCCCTGTCGCACCCGGAATTCTCGAGCTCTTTCAACTCGAAGGCATTGAGCCCCTCCAGCACATGCCGGACCACTGTCTGGCACAGGATAGCTGCGCGGATTGGGGAGTTCGTGTGCACAAGATTTGTGTATGGATGACCCCTACAAAGGCAGACAAAGACCGTTCAATCCCCTCCGCACCTGCAAAGAACGAAACCTCCCCTGAATTGATTCGCTCACTCATTCATTCACCCACACACCCACTCACTGGAGTCACTCACTCTCTCGGACCTGCTTCTGTCCATCCAGAGAAGCAGGTAGGCTTGAAGTTTCCGCCGAAACGCACAACAAGAGTGACGCATGATGCCCACTGCAAGCCCAGCCCCTTTCCCCTGAAGTCCCGAGGTGCACTCCGCAAGCAATGCGAGCCTCGCCCTGAAGGCCCCACTTTCCTGAAAGCACCGAGTAATTGAGAGGGTAGCTTATGAGTTGAGAGCCATATTGCTGCTAAGCACAAGTTAGAAGCATGGTCTTTGCACCCCGGATCGACCTGGGTGGTAAGAGCGTTTTTCATTTTTGATCTTGCTGCTTTCGTGCTTTGTCTTTGCCGTTGCTGCTGGCGGGGGCATTGTTTTGCTGTTTCGGTTCCAGCTGGCCGTTCACTCGCTTGCTTGTTTGCCGGGGCTTCAGCTTCAGAGCACAACTGCAAAACAGCAGCATCAGCCAAAAGAAAGCACCTGTTCCCGACCTAAAGACTCTAGGGATTCTAAGGCCAAGAGTTGCTCCGCCAGGGATCGTGAAGCTTGGGGCCCTCCCTCTTGCTGCAGGTATTGAAACAAGCACTGTCAGGAACGATTGAACCCATGAGCCGGTGAATTTTGTGAGACGACAAATCCGCGCTCCTTCGGGGGATCTTGCAAATACTGCTCGGGCCTGAGCGCCTAATTTGGGGTTTAGGGTTTTTTCCCTCCAAAAGGTTTGGAGTTTAGAGGGCATTCCTCTAGGGGGACCCATACACCCTCCGAGCGGAAGATCCGGAAGCTAAACACCAATTGGCACAGCATAAACGCAAGCTCAGAAGCGGAGGATTCTGTCAATCCGCGCCACCTGCAACAGACAGGGCGGAACCAAACCGGTAAACTTGGGTCCAAGTTTTGGACTTCACCTTACGCAACGCGTCGAATCAGAATCCACCACGATTACTTTCACAGTCGGGAATGCCATTCACGCACAGCGCCAGTGAGTTAGGCCCCAGTAACAACAGCAGAAACATTGTGTGGAGCCCTCAAGGGAAATGGGATGCTGGGCCGGACCCACGTGTTGCTGCGTACCTGACTGAAGCGCACAAATCTGTTTGCTTCTTGGCACATATCTTGGGCATCTTTGTCTGACCACCCCCCTGCGACGCATGTACGTCATAGAATAGACTGACACAGCATCGAAGATCCTGACAAGAAGCTCCGACATTAAAATGCCATGATCACCTTGCCTCGTCGGGGCCGACATTCTGCTCTTCAAAGCGCGGCTTCTTCGCGGGCTGCTCTTGTAGATTGTCCTCCGGTACGCTGCGAAGAAGCAGAGAGAGAGAGAGAGAGAGAGAGGGACAGAGAGAGAAAGAGTGAGAGAGAGAGAGAGAGAGAGAGAGAGAGCAGCGAGAGCGAACGAGTATTCTGTTTGATTTGTCACAGGTGATGATGAATGTGTGTTTATATGTGTGTGTGAGTGTGTGCGACCGTGCCTTCCGGTCGTGACGTCAGAGTCACGACGCTTGCAGTCGCATGAGGAAAGGCTTGCCATCTTAAGTTCTCGTAAATTGCAGGCGGGCCTTCAAGTCGTCTCGCAGCAGACGCTTAAGTCGAAAGGAAGCCTCGACCGCACCCTGGCGCAGTGGGAATGCATCAGGGGATCAGAAATCCTGGGTCTTACCAGGGGTGGACATAACCGGACTCGGGTTCGATGGAATTGCCATAGAAAGGGTTGCTGGGCCACACCGGGGGTCTGCGACAAGCCTCCGACAGTCGAGCAAGCGACCCAAGCTCTTCTAGCGAAAACCAACCCCTGCACTTGAGAAGGACAAGCAGCTCCTGGCAACTACTGCCACAGTGCATGCTGAATCCACGATTCATAGTTCCAACGGGATTCCAACGACACCAAGTGCTCAAAAGGGGAAGCTTGTCTGCTCCTGACTCTTGCTGTCTTGGCGACCTGGAGATGTTCTGCTACCTCGCGATCGTCATCTTCCTGGGCTTCCTGCGTTCATAACACTCTGATTCGTCCGCTCAGTTTGGGCTTTTCTGCAACACTAACAAGCAGCTGCCACAGCGAGCTTCATCTTTGACACAGAGATCAGAGGATGATATCGGGTCGTTAACCAGCCTGTTCAAGTGCTTGGGCCCGAGTTTTGTTGCCCGGGTCTGGACTTCCTGTATAGCTCAACGTCCCGCGGCCGCCAGCACGGGTGTTGAGACCCTGATGAGAGACTCTGGACCCACGACGCCAATGATTGTGATGTCTCGACAGGCAAGAATAGTTGTATGCATCCAGAATTCGTGCCCGGGTTCCAGTAGTTCTTCTGCGTTGAACAAAAGCACAGGTGTCGTGCTACAATGTTGCTTGATCGGATCGCAAGTCGGTCCTTCGACTTGTCATTCGCTGCCATCTGCGCTCGGGCCGAACAAGCACACTAAGCCTCTAAGCGTCTGCTTGCTTCGATTTCTATATTGTGCTTGAAGGCTTAGCTTTGCTGTTTTGATAGCCTTGTAGGTCAGCGGTTTGAGGTTGGGTCAGTTCTCGGATGGCTACGAGACTGTCGGCGGGTGAGCGACTGGATGTGTGAGGCTGGTCCATGCAGAGGCTATAATATACATCTTGCCCGTCGATCTGAATGCGCGCTTAGCGGAACTGATCGATTAGTGCTTGAGCGATTGGCGTCTGCTCTCTCGTGGCCAGCCGTGATTGCCCTTCCCGGAGGCAGAACGCCAAGCCATGTCAGCACCCACATCCTAACACAACCTTGGATAGTCCACTTCGCCCGACTAGCTACTGCGCCCAATAACTGCTTCCAACTGGCTGGCTGCCTTGTCCCCAAAAGCGGATGCCAGGTATGATGCGAGTACCAACATAGACCAACCAGTCAATACGAAGCATTTGATCATGGAGTCGTCGTACTTGCAGTCTTCAGCTAAAAGGGGAACCGTCAAATCCTGTATCCCTGTATTCTAAACACGGCCAACTGGGGGCATGCAAGGCTTGAGGTTGTGATTGAAAGAAGCCTGGGTTCCTTCATGGCTTGCAGCGCGACTGACTACACGCACTCCAGCACTGACTCTTTTCCGATGAGCGATGTATGGTAACGTGTCCATGCTCGTCCCACAGTCACCTCAGCATCACAAACAACATTGCCACTAACAACTTGCCGTACGCTCTGGTCGAAATCAGGATAGCGACCACGATGCAGACGTTTTGGTCTCTTCTTTTCGAAAACTTGCCACGTACGAGCTCGACAACATGGGTCTATCAAATAAGCTCGTGGCAGGACAACAGCCCTTAATCAGCACGGGCTGAGCCCCACACCATCCACCACCGGCTCCACCACCGCCACCAAAGCCGCCGCCTCCGAAGCCACCGCCTCCGCCTCCTTGCAAGCTGGTGGAAGATGGCGTTGGGTTGAGGACGGGGCTGTGCAGCATTGGGGCTGGGGTTTAGGGTTTAGGGCAGCTGGGGAGTCGATCATCCGCTGCCCTCAATGTTTCTCTCGTGAAAAAATGTACTTTCGTTCGCTGGCGGTGCTTCTTAAGCATGCGGCGCAGGAAAGATGTGGACGAACATGGAAGACCAGTCATTCAGCGCCAAAGAAGTTTCAAGCTTGAGAGTATGCACAATGCCAGTTCAACAGCAGGCAGGATCTCTTCAAACCTGCTAGTTGTTTGGTTAGTCAGTCAGTTCGTATCTCATTTAGTCAGCTGAACTATCTAGCTTAGTTTGATTCAGTGAGTTAGTTAGTGGGTTCGCTGGTTGGTTAAATAGTGAGTTTGTTAAACCGATTGTTTGTGTCTCATTTGGCTATTTGGTTAGTTGGTTCTTTATTTAGCCAAATAGTTACTTGGTCTGTCAGGTGGTCAGGTAGCTAGGTAGCTAGCTAGCTAGCTCGCTGGTAGGTAGGTCGGTAGGTCGGTAGGTCGGTAGGTCGGTAGGTCGGTAGGTCGGTAGGTCGGTAGGTCGGTAGATCGGTAGGTAGGTCGGTAGGTAGGTAGGTAGGTAGAGGTAGGTAGGTAGGTAGGTAGGTAGGTAGGTAGGTAGGTAGGTAGGTAGGTAGGTAGGTAGGTCGGTGGGTGGGTGGGTAGGTAGGTAGGTAGGTAGATGGCTAGATGTGTGGATGAAATGGTGGATGGATGGATGGATGGATGGATGAATTGGTCATCGTCCAGCACATCGATCACCATCAATCGGTGCCACAGCCTTGCATGTCAGAAGCTCTGAACACCGTCCGTCACCCAACCACCGTCATTGTTTCTATCATGCCTCCCAAATGACCGATGGAGCCGGACGTTTGCGCAGCGCTGGTGAAGCTGCTGGCCACGCTGTCTGCGTAAGAATAGTGGGGCACCTGCATGACCAATGGCATTTCCACATTCACGCTATGGAGGACAATGATGTGCCCGTTACCCGTGGATGAACTGAGAAGAACGGTGCTTCACGCCAGGTATTCACGGCATATCGCCACCTGCAAAAGAGCAGCTTTGCTATCTCAACTTGGCTCTGCCCAATCCCCGAAGTGTGGTGCCTGAGCGCCGTGAACCTGCTTCCAAAGCAGCAACATGTTTGGGGCTGCGCCTATACTGTAAGTTTCGAACGAATTATAAGAACTAATACTTCTACCTCCAAATCAGGAACCCCAGAAGCGTTCAATTCTGATCCGATTCCGCAGTTGATTCACGGCCAAGGGGCATAAAGCAAGTATGTGTCGTTGTTGGAGTAGTAAATCGGGCTCGTAGTTCTGGTTCTGAAGCTGCTGGGATGTCCTCGAGCTTGACAGATGCAACAAGTGCGCACCGCTGAAAAGCATCCTGGAATGCGCGTGACCATACATGGCGCACCCACAGAAGAGGTCTGGATTTCTGGTCGCAACCCCAGTTAACCTTCGGTTGCGAGAAGCCTCAAGCGAAGCACAGCCAACGTGACACACTATTGGGACTGAAACTGCAAGCTTCGCATGGAGCAAAGGCCCGAGAATCCGACGCGCACTGCCACACTTCCACCCCCGCGAATCATGTCAAACATACTTGAGAAGCGCTGAAGATGCTGCATAAGTGCGCTGCACGAGCCGTGAAAGGTAGAAGCGAAGTCTGCGCTGGTAGTGTTCGGACTTCTGCTTGTCCTTCCGGGCATTCGGATCCCTTCGCTGAAGCCATCGACTTCAAATTGAAATTTTTAGGCACGAACTGGGACCATGGGAATGAGGCAAGCCCAGAAAGCATTAGGGCCCGGATCTAAGCCCACGGTCCCGTCTGCCACTCGCACCAATGGAGGAAGTCTGGAAAGAGTCAGGGGCAACTCTGACACAATGCCTCATCCGTCAAAGCCAACTCAGCGCCCACATCAGCACGGCAAAGCGGGCAGGACCTCAGCTTCGGGGTGGATGCAGGGTGGGTAGTTACGTAAAGCTTGTCATTTCTCTGCTTTCCGATGTTGCTGCTGTGGCTGTCATTCGTCCGTGGGCTCCTTATTCGAAGTCGCGCTTCGGAAACACTGTGCGGCTTGTTCATTAGCTTACCCCTGTGTTGTCCGTTCCGCTTGGAACCATCGCTCCAAAAAGCAGCTTAGTGCGAAGCAGCTGCGAAATCACGTAGTCTGTGGTCGCGGCCAAGCGGCTCGTTCGCCTGGACCCACTCCTCGATGCACCTTTTGTGGAAGCGATGCTTGCCTGAGCGTCAGGGATTTGATTTAGAGCTTTCACCTGTCATGTCAAAATGCAGCTAGCCTTTATGCTCGAACAGCCGAAGGCATGGCTGGCTGCTTGTTCAAGCTTCGGAACACAGCAATAGCTGTTTGAGATCGATCGGCAGCAGTACACGACCTTTCTGTTCGAAGGGCAGGCACGGAATGCCGCATTCGGATAGTTGTGGGTAGTTTGAATCTGTCAAAGGCAAACTAAGAGGTTCGCTGCCAAAGCGCGAGGTTCATCACCCTTGAAAGGAAGGGGGGTGCAAAGAGGAAGTGGATTCTGCAGATTCTGCATATGGTTCAGCTTGTGCCATGAGGCTGACGTCTTATCAAGAGGACACAACTTAAACACTGGGCAAGTCCTCAAAGCTTTCTTGCAGCATGGTCGCAGCTGAGAGCTAGTACCTCAGCAGCCTCATCCGGCGCAAAATTCCTGGGCATCTTTGCTTCAGGTCCACGACCGCCTTCGACGTACCGTCATGGACAGTGTTCTTGTGGCTCTCTGTTGGTGCTTCCTTGAGTTGAGCAATATACATCGCAAGCAAACCACACATTGCTTCACACTATCAGCATACACATCCCTGGCAGTTTGCCATTCGAAGCAATGTCCAAGCCTCGCACTAATTTGGCTGAATTTGGTGCGACAGGGCCACTGTGCAAGGTAAATTCAACAGCTACCTGAAAACCCCAAAATGCGGAGCTCATGGCTTCACATGCTCCGTCCAAACCATTCTCAATCAGTATGCTGTCTATTTATTTGTAGTCGCTGTCTCGCATGTTTACAGAAGTGTGAACCCGAGGTTCAACAAAGCTCCTCACTCTGCCTGTACGATCGCTTCATAACAGTGTAGTGTGGTGAGACTGAGGCTATTGGCTATTGCATATGATCTCTTCGAGCATTGAACAGACATGCTCCGCAAGCTCGAGCGGCTTGCAAAGTCACGAAAGAGGGAATCCGCTGTACTGTGTGCGTGTGCGTGTGTGTGTGTGTGTGTGTGTGTTTGTGTGTGTGTGTGCGTGCGTAGGAGCAGATGGCGATCCGGCCTTGTGGCAACTTGGTCTGTGTAGCAGCCGGCAGACTCTGCAGCTCCGGTGTCTCTTATTGACATCACAGGGAAACAAGTATATGGTGAGATCCCAACTGGTTCCCGCTGCAACCTGCTCGACCCGAAAACGAAAAGCAGAAGCTCGTGCCAAAGCTTCAGTGCCCAACCTTCAAATTCATAAACCATGTTCAGTTCCCATGCGGAATCACTACCAGGAAGCTCGAGGCAGATCGGACACATGGACTGGTCAAACTCGTCCTTCTCCAGTTCCTTCTGCACGCCTCAGGTGCTGCACAATTTTCACTCCCTCGACCTCTACGTTACAAATTAATGCGGGCCGTCCGGGAAACTTTATCGGAATGTGGCTATTTGTCGGTGAGGCTCGATCTAGCACAGATGAAGCATTCTTGAGTCTCTGGGCCCTAAGCACCCACTACAGTACGTAGAGGTTGCTAACGTAAATCGTGTGGATTTAGTTATTGGAGCGACGAAATGGAGCTGAGCAACGAGGAGAAGTTGTCAAAATCCTGTGCTACAGACTGCGACCCCGGAAATCTCCCGAAAGTCCCAGAGGTTTGCGCTCCAGGTGCGTTGCAGATCTTGCTCCGCGCTGCTTGGAAAGAGCCTGCGCCAGCATGCCGAGCAGGCATCTGCCAGCTTGGCGCAAGGCCAGAGGAGCAGTGTGGCCCTGGGCAGGGAAATTCAGAAAGTGGAAACTGCACTTCGGACCTCAGGTCTCTTTAATATATATATATATATATATATTTATATATATATATATTTATATATTCCGGCCGCGAGGACTTAACTTAGTCTCAGACTTCATGAGACACGCAGTTCTCGTTTTGGCCGTTCGCGACGCCACAGAAGGCTGCAGGACGGAAAGTACCAGAAGCACCCCAAGACATGGTAAGTAGCCTCTGCTCTACGACTCCTATGCTTTGGTTCTGCCATGTGATAAAAGATCGAGCATGGTCGAGCGCTGAGCTTGCACCCAGCATCTTTACAGTGCGGGCCAGGATGCACTGCCGCCAAGGAAATCAGCAAAAGAGCAAGAAGTTGAGGCAAGTTGATGCCTTGCGGTTCTTTCTGCTTTTTCGAGGAAACCAGCCCGCTTGATTACACAGAATGCTCGATGTCGCATCTTGGCGAATCTTGGTCTGGTTCAGCGCCTACCGGCATCTACCGGCTTGGTGCTCCTTCTGAGCGCAGTGATAGGTATGCTGCGCATCAGTTTGAGCTCTGACATGATTATGCTATGCAGCCGTTTGATGAGAACCGGGGAGGGGGAAAAAAAGGTGGGTGCTACATGTACTACATGCATGTGTGGATGTATGCATGCGCCGAAGTCTGGATATATACACACATGTAGTAACATGCATGCATGGGCATGTGTATGTATTTTGTGTCTGCACTCGGCACGCGATTGCACGCTGCGAATTTGGAACATCCTTTACCATTAGAACAGAATGCATGATGTGCAAAATTGAGGCCTGCATTGCGTCACACAATCAGACACTTGTTCGTGCCTGTGCGCGGGCCGACTGTTCACAAGCAAAAGTCACTGTCCCCAACTCGTCGCTCCTGCTGAACTCCTGAGGGTTAAGCTGAGGCACAGATAACGAAGCCCAGCAGAGTGAACATTAGGTAGTCGGTCCAGCTGCGGTACACCTGCTTTGGGTTTGCCGGGTTTGTCACATGGGTGACCAGCCGGCCGGATGTCTGCTAGCTGTCTGGTTACTGGATAGCTCGAACGACCCGAACCCAATCCAGCATGCTCTGACGGGCAGCCGCGCCAGGACATACGACATACTCCAGTATCGAGCCTGAAACTTCACCCACCAGAGTTCCCTCAAATGCTGCTCAAGGCGCTGGGATGCTTTTGCCTTGCAGCGCATCCAGGATCTCCTCCGTCCCACGGAGAATCGCGGAGCCGGTCTTGGCCGCAGCAACAAAAAAGTTGAGAGCCCGTTCAACTCGAACCTTTGGCTTCTATGCGATTCTATGTGTATCAGCTTCCTGCTGCCCTGAGAGCAGATTCTTAGCTGCCGTCGGACCGGAGTGGTTGCCAATTGCCCAGTGGTCTTTAGGGCTTTAGGGCCTAGATTGGCGGGCTTTACAGTTTGGCTTGCTGGGTGGAAGAGGCCGTCTTGTGTGACGCAACTCGACATGCCAGTCACAATTACACGATGTGCCTTCAGTGCCCTAATTAGCGCTCTGCTCTCGCACTCTTCCCTGCTTAAATAAGCAGTGTCCCAGGCACGTCCCCCTTTTTCAACAGAGGCTTCATGTTCTTGAGGATGAGCTCCGCTTCTGAGTCGTACAGCACTTCGCGCGTCTTCTTTGCTGTCCTTGGTGGTCTAGCCTCTGCAGAACCTCTAACCGCTGTAACAACACAAGCCCTGGGCCACTAGTAGACCCTGTTGTAAATGGCTCTTGTCAGCATGACCATCAATTCTTTGCACCAGATGTCGGGCAACTTGTCTATGCAAGATCACCACGTACTAGAGAGATGCATCGGGGTACTTAGAGGCAGTCCGTCGGAGCCTCAAATACAGTCAGAGCCTTCTTGGGCTTTCAGCTTGACGGTTCGCTCCTCAGATAAACGAGTTCGCCTGTCAATATCTCAGGATGCATGTTTGTATTCCAGCTTCAGCAAGTGTCTTTAAGTAGAACATGCGGTCGTCGATGCTCAGGAAGAGAAGCAAGCCTGGGCAGAAAAAGGACACACTGCCTGCTTCATTTCATGGTGCGTGCTTGGGCTGTGAGGGCCCGGGGACCCCTGGCACAAATGCTCGAACAAAAACACGAGTCTCTGTCTATCCAACTCTCTCCCTGTCTCTGTCGCGCTTTGTTTCGCTCGGCCGAATGTCGGTGCTCTGTCAATTTTTAATAAGGTCTTTTTACGTTTTTAAGCAGCAACGATGACCCCAGTGAACACAGAGCAAGCTTCAACATAGCTGCGGCATGTAATCACCATCAGTGTGACCATCTGCGAAACCATCATCTTGCTCTACACAATCTTTATGACTACCACCGTCATCACCAACCAATACAGCTGTGTGAGCATGTACAGACAGTAGTCCACGTCGTAAGATACGTAAAAAGCACATACCGGACGAGACCAGTGGCCGAGGGAATGACAACGACACACCGACACACAAATCCTCTCCCCGTGGCAAGGCTCTAAGGCTCACTCTCTATCTCTCTGTCTCTCGCTCCACCTCTCTCTTTATTACACTACTAGTAACAAAGGCAGACAGACAGACAGACAGACAGACAGCAAGCCAGCCAGCCAGCCAGCCAGCAAGCCTGGCAGCCAGGCAGACAAACATATTCGCTAGGTTGTTTAACTGTTTGCACTTCTCCACCTAGCCACTTTTCTAATCAGATGCATATCACAAGAAGTGACGATGAACAAGCCAATTAATAAATTAATACATGTTGGCCGAAATTGAAACAGTATGTGCCGTATATACAGCAAGCAAAATTTGCAGCTTACAAATTGTTAGGTTTCCTGGCTTGGTACGCAGAAAACTCCTAGCAACGCTATTTCCAATACGGGGGGGGAAACCCTCTTTCTGGATGAGTGCCACCGTGTTTTACCAATTTCTCGTGAACACGAGGAGTCACGTTCTGGACTGGGACAATGACTTCTACTAGGGCGTAAGAACACAAACATAGATGTGGCAGGGCGCGGAACTAGCAAAGTCGACAGAACATGCACGAGATAAGGCTGATACGAACCCATTGTCAGAACAAGCAGTATTTTGCATTCAGACTGCTTATGCTCTCACAATACGGACAAGCTACATGAGGCTTTATGGTCCGCGGTCGGCACCACGTGTTGGCTCCGGTATGTACAAGAAGCAAGGGCTTCCTCCCTCCGTATCTATAAAAACAGTGTCAAGCCTAAGAATCAGCGACACCGTATGCATATTGTCACACACGGGAAACACTGCACAGCGTTTGCTAAGCGTGCAGCATGCAAGTTTTTAAAAGTAGTATGGGCTGTCATCATACAGAATTAGGGAATGCAATACCCAAATGCCTACAAATTCCGGATACACCAGCGTGTAAAAACAATCGCATACGGTCACAGGGATATGTTATTGAGAGCTGTACGTAGCCAAAACTCCATAGCAATGCTTACAAAAACAGACACTCTCAGGGGATCGCGGCATTACAAAACAAATATTGAAAACGCTTAGTTCTAACTTCAATAACTGTAGAGCATGACTGAACCAGACTATTGACTAAAGACGCATTTGCTAGTAAATTGGATCTACAAGGGTTTAGCATTTAAATTTTGGGAGAGCAGTCATACACGCATGAAATACGAAAATGTACCGACGGCTACAGGCAAGGATTCGCGACTTGCTTGCAGGCAGGCCTGGACACCCTTTTTTGCCTCCCGCCTGGCTAGGACTGGAACCTGCGACCACTAAACCGGTGAAAATGGCAAGCAGACACCAAGCAAATCAAACCAATATCAACCTTGAAACACCTCCCTCAGCAGTACACAACCCTTGAGTCTTCCATCTCTCTGAGCCAGCGGCCGTTGTCGCAGCCGGCATTCCCGACCCCCCAGAAATCACCGACCATGTGGGCAAATCGCTCGCCCGTTAGCTCCTGACGGATCGCGTCTGTCGAACAATGTCCATGTCTCACTCTCTCTTGCTCTCTGGCAGCTGGTCGACGGAATGGCCGACGAACATGGCAGGCTTCAGCTGAGTGTCTTTGTTTCCCGCGATCCACGTGTGAATGCCAAAAGCTCCAATCCACTCCGACGAGGCGATGCTCTTGACCTTTCAAGATTCAAGACGAAACGAGACAATGCCGCGACAAGTCCTGCTACGTGCAACCGCCTGCTACAGCCTCCAGATGCCAATGCTTGACTCGGCCCAAGGACTGCACATTGACGTGGGGCTCCCAAGAACAGACGCAGCCAAGAGGCAACTAGAACAGCTGCTTGGTAGGAGTGGTTGGTACCTCTGCTTCAACCCCACACTACTGCTTCAGATCTTCGCTCCTTCTCTCGCCAACCCAGCGGCCAATAATACCTGCACTATCATATACTGCCCCTGCCGTCCAGCACAATCGGAAAGATCACTGAGTGACTGAAACCCGGGGCCGATAGGGTTGCATGCCGCTCAAAAATCTGTAGGAGTGTGTTGTTCAGGTGCTGTGTAGTGTGGATGAAGGCTCACGAGGACAGGGCCCACTTTCCCAATTTGCGCCAGAAGTCTCTGTGCTGACGAGATACCATCTGGGCATTGCAGCTTTGTTTTCTTGTCCACTTCCTGTAAGACCTGAGGTCACATGGAAGTCTCGTGCCTTGTGGCTCAAGGCTCAAGAAGCACCACATGAAGGACATAAAGCCACAGCTCGAACTCGGACGGAAGCTTGCAATTCAGCAACAGTTCCTACCCCGACAAACGACCATCTTCCTCGACACGGAGCCTTCAATTTCACTCTTTGCCTTACAGACACTGCATAAATGCAATACCAGCTCAACAAAGTTCTCCGACTCTCTCGTCGCCGCTAAAGTTTACAGGAATCGGGAACCAAGCGTCGGAGGCCATGATTATTCGAGGCACCTCCGTACAGTTGCCTGTGTTTTTCAAAGCCTAGCAGTGCCCACCTGCTGGATCTGTTGTCGGTCTGCTGGAGAAAGAAGCCTTACGTAGATCGGACAGCAATCAAAGAGACTCCCTTGACTCCGCCAGCGGCGCTCGCCAAACTGAACGGTCCTTCGAAAGGCAGCCAATTCGAGACGGAAGAAACTGAAGTCATCAGACATCTTTGAACCAGCTGCGCATCAAGCCCGTCTTCCTTGCTGTCAGGGCACAGGTCGGGATCGCAGATGCGGCCTGTCGAATTCAAACCTGAAGCGTCAGCAGCTTCCGTCAGAAGAGGGTTTGGCATTGCACGCCCTTTTGCTCTGCCTTCCGTGCGTTTGTGTGTCTGTTGCTTCTGGCTGGCCTTAGTGCTCTCCTCTACACGCCCTCAATGTACACATAAAGCCGATTGGAACTTGGGAACATGAGGGTTTTCAGGTAGATTCTGCCTGCCTCACATGACAGGGCAGCGCTTTGCTGCTTTGCTCGCAACGGAACAGCTAAGTCTCTGGCCGCACTGCTGCGGATTCGTGGCGGGGTTCGGCACATCTTTCGGAGTCCACTTGTCCCTGATGCATGCAAGAACATCCTCCCATTCTGGGTGATAATACCACCAGTCAACCCATTAGANNAGACGATTATTCCTATACTCCCCCCTACACTCAACTATATCACCACTACATCCCCATTACCAATACCAGTATAGGAAGAACCGATTACCTCATTTCCCCCGTGCATAAGCATATCATAAGAGTATGGTAATGGTTAATTAGAATAATATTTATCATAATTATTGAACTATGATAAATAATGAAAAACAATATAATATGACAATATTTGTTGATAAGATAACAATGGATTTTGATAATGAGTATCATCCTCCCAATTGTGAAAGGCAATGTGTTAGATGTAAAAAATGGAAGAATTTAGTGTATTTTAGGAGATACTGTTATTGTTAAACAGGGGTGTATTTAATGCAGTATAGGTTCACGGTTTCTTGTTGTGAATGCCTTGATGGTATGAAAAATACAATGATAAACGAAAAGAAATGCGTTTCAATGATAAACGAAAAATTGAGTTAAAAGGATAGTGTCTTTTATATATTTTTCCCTCTCGCATGGCAAAGGAATGTCTTTTATATATAACATGGAAGGTTCAAAAATCAAACGCTCAAGGTGTCACAGTAAAAGACAGTTGAAGAATTCGGATACCGCAAGAATAACAAACTATTTGCAAATTGTATTAAATGCAGAGAGAAGAGAAAAGAGTATAGTCGTAAATACAAAAAACCAGATGACAAGCCGTCAGAAATAGTTACTGTGTTTAATTATTGCTTAATGATGAACTTATTGAGAATTATTTTATGATATTCAGTAAGCAAGATAACAAGGTAATAATTGAAATTCCTATGAACGATGAGGTAAAGGATATCAATAGTAAGCAACCAGAACAAACCAGTGAAGACAACTCCTTTGCTAAACTGTATCGGCGATAATGCACTCATAAGTATAATATAAACATACCTCATAAGAATTTACGAGATATGAGCTCATTATGATTACAACCTTGTAAAACCAAACCTAGCAAAATCTATGAGAGAGCCTTTGCCCATTTCGGGATGATAATACCACCTTAGGGAATATAGATGGGGTAATTGGTTATTCCTATGCTGGTCTTGGTATTGGGGATGTAGTGGTGATATAGTTGGTGAGGTGTAGGGGGGAGTATACGAATAATCGTCTAATGGGTTGGCTGGTGGTATTATCACCCAAAATGGGTAAGGATTCTGCTAACTGCGTCGCCCTTACCTCTCAACTTTCAGCCTGTTATATATATATATATTTATATTTATATATATATATATATGTTTATAGAGCTTCCCAGAATGTGGGATAAAACTGTCTGAGAAGGGCCGCGCCTGGTTGTCTGCTGGCCTGAGATAGGCAGTTCTATGCAGGTCACAACCCTTTCTGTTCCCCTATGCTTCCCAGGACCTGATAATTAGGGCCCTAGACCTGTTCAGGACCCAATAATGAGGTCCCTGGAGAAGAGCGCTGAGGCTCAAGAACCCGAACTCACGCGACGGTTCGGTCTGGAGTCTGGCAGGCTGAGAGAGTGGTGCGCCCACTGGAAGGAAGGCGACATGCATCGTCTGGGAATCATGGCAACAAAGCGCAAACTGCCAAACTGAACCAAACCGACTTGTTCATGCAAGCCCCGTCGCCTTGATGATGGACGATAGCTCCAGCAAGCTTAGCGAGACAAACCCCAAGCAGCAGCTTGTGTAGTAGACCAACCATGCCTCAGAAACACGTCTCGCTGATTTCGGAAGGTGCAGGTCCAGTCTTCGGAATTCATTTCGGAATGTTGGTACAGGTCGATCTTCCAGGGCATGGTTTCGGTGACTGCATGACTCAGCTAGCGGCATGAGGTGACTGGTGGTAACATGACTTGGCTGCCCTCTGCTCAGCTGAATTATCGGCCATTGAAATGAAACCTTACTGTACACGCCAGGGGGCAAGCAGCTAAATTGTGACGGAAGTAGCCGAAGCCGGCTGTCGGCGAGCGCCGCACCTGCACATGAACACGTTGCCTTCAAGCTTTTAAATTTTTTTTGCTCGGAACAGATCTGAAGTAGGACTGCCGGTGTAGGTTCTGCAGTTCTGCAGTCCTCAGTTCGGGTCGCGCCAGGTCACAATGTGACAACACGTCCCATCGCCGCAGCTCCTCTTTCTACATCCAGGGGTATGTAGAGCCCATATAGCCAAGGGAGCTCGAGTCCCGGATCACCTGGGCATAAAGCCGCTACTGTTTCTGAAACCGGAAGGCCTGGAGAAAGCTGCCAGGGCCTCTCGCGCGAAAGCAAGGTATGGCGGTATGGAGGATGTGGGCTGAGTGATTTCGAACCACTTGGGCCGGATGGACAAAGAAGCCATGAGTGGAGAAGCACGGGCTTGCAAACTGTCCACCCCGCAACATGTATGTCCAGACTGGGTGGGTAGATGGAGGCAGGGTCAATGAACCAGACGAAATGAAAGTGCGATGCCTGAACAAATGATAATAGATGACAGTGTGCCAGAATGTGATGCGATCCGGTCGAAGTGGACTCGCGAAAACCCGGAACAACGCGTCGGAAGCATGGAGCACAAAGCCTCTTTTGAAGGCCCATTCACATGCTCCGATGCAACACTGCCCTGAGGAGCTCGCTGTGTGCCTATCGACGCTTGGGAGTTGGGAGTGCCTAGGACAGAAGCTGGGTTCTTGTTAGGGGATTTAGTCTAAGCTACCATGATAAGGAAACAACATTATTTACTATAGATCCCTATTATAGTAACTTAAGTAAAAATCCTCCAATAAAACAAGGGCCCGGGAAGGGTTTCCGAGGCTAGCTCTCCCCTCAAAGAAAGGGCGCCCAAGCGCGGGTGAAACCGGGCTCTAGCGGGCTTCAGGCTTCCCTGAAGCTGCCGAGTGGGGTGTTTGCCCTGGACTGATGCCCAAGTTGGGGATGTGGCCTTGAGGCCTTGGGGTGCATATCATATAGGGGTTTCAGACTTGAAACTCGGAGTTCCCGACGTTCCGATCTCATGATCCATGTGTGGTTGTTTAAGCAGCCGCGGTAAAATCAAGCCAGTCGAGGGCACATTCAAGTTGAGCTTAGAAGCATCATACAGAAAGTTGTCTTGATTCTATCGTTCCGCCGGGCCGGAAGTGCTTTGCCAGCAGGGCTCAGTCTCCTGGGCAGCCTTTCTGACGAGGCGGTGCCATAGCAAGAGTGAGCTGATGCATTTGTTAGGTTACGCTGGCGTCTCTGGAATTTCGGGTCTGTGGGCAAGCCCTCATTGAAGCAGCTGTAAACTGCTTTTTGCAAGTGGTAGACCCCACCCTTTCATGTTAAACTGAAACCTGCACTTTGGTGTGACACGCCCCCGGTCGAGGTCAAGACGTGATCACGTCTGACATCTTCCGGGCGGGGTGAGAAAAACACACGACACTCTGGAGGCTTAATTGGCAGAGGGCCAGATGACTTCTAGAAATGGCTGTACGCACGCGCATGATGAGATCTAAATGTCTTCTCAGCAGTTCAAGGTACTGAGGTGCTGTAGGAAGATGTACGTAAGGCCCCTGCTGCTGCAGACAATTGAGCCTGCACCCGACAAACGAGGAATTCCAGAGCTAGGCCATGCCTTCTACAGCTCAATCTCTCGGGCTTTCGAATGCATGGGTGTAGGGTTGCTCCTTGAGGAGTCAGGCTCACCTGACCGTAACAAAGCATGTTTACATGTGTTTACTTCTTGTAGCCTTGTGTCTCTGAGTGGCCAGCTCTTGCATTCTTGCATGCATGGTGAAAAGCCAGGAGGAAGCCTCATCAGTCGTCCAGCTGGCCTTGTCGAAGCAACGAGGTGGCTCTGCTTACGGAATGCAGCTTCAGCTCTGCATCTATGCAGCAGCAATGGCCCCTGGACAAAGTGTCTGTGACTCAGCTTCAAGTGCGAGAGTTCACTGCCTGCACTCTGCATCTATGACTCCTTCGATCCGTCTTGGTCAGCTTCGCGCTGTGAGCTAGTGCTAGGACAGAACGAAGACAGCAGTGCTGCGAACCCTGGGCCGTCCTGGCGACGTTTAGTTAGCCCGAATTGCTTTGTGGCCGAGTCGCAGAGGCACGCGACACCACGTTTGATCCAGAACTTTGCAGAATGCTCTTTCGCCTCAGATGCCAAGCGCAGCAAAACACATGTTATCTCGGCCGTTCCAGAAGAACAATGCCATCCCAACTATTCAAGCAGGGAATCTCCGCTGGCCAGTGTGATAGGAATGAAACTGATTGCCAAAACTTCTTCACTAAAGCCAGCTGTATGCAACAAGGAAGTAAGTGTCGCACGATCGGAATTTTGATGGTGCAGACGAAATTGGTGGAGTGCCCAGTTGTGCTGAGAACTCCCTGCGCAGGGCAGCAATTCCGGGCATTAGGGGTAACCTTTCAGTCGACATGATCGACAATCGGCAGCTTTCAAGGGAAGCAGGAGGTCAAAGGATGCACCGGCAGGGTAGATGATGCTGGCAAAGTCTCTCTCCCTGTGCCCGACTCTGTGCTTCTACAAGGACCCCTCAACATATACACATAAGGACACACAGCATGGCAAAACACAGCACCGACCTTTCTTTCCGAGGTCTTGTAGATGGGCGAGGGATAGACACGTGCAGGATCAGTTGGGTCCTCGCAATCGCCGACGAGTAGTGCCAAGCATGGCAGTGAGCTGCGAGTGGCGCGACAGGCTACAGGTTCAGATCGCCAATGCACACATGGCGGGGTCCTTGTCCTTTTCGCATGGCTTCCAATGCATGTGTGGAATCTCTGAAAATAGCACCTGTGCGGTTCTGCATCCCCTCCGTCCGTTCATTCTGGACTGAATTGATTTCAAGCATCCATTCGAGTTTTTATTGAATTTTGTCACTGGGTTGTGCAACTACTCGTAACAGCTGCAACGCAAATCTGGCTGCAATTCTCTTCTGGATGCGGGCCCGTAAACCGTTTTGAAAAGTCGGTTTCTGCGCCAGGATAGGGAGGGCTGATCTTCAAAAGACTTCTCGGGGTCCATGCCGAGACGCTTCTGCTGAGCTTTTGCAACATTCTGACCCTGAAACTCCATGCAGACTTGTCCTGCCTTGGGCAAGCTGTCTTGGATGACTTGCTGATCATTGTCCCATCGTGCGCCGTCCATGAAGAGCCCATAGACCACACAGCCATCCTGTCCACGCAGCTATGACGTCTTCAGGGTTCAGGGTCTAGCCGCCCAAGCAGGGTCAAATAGGATTGCTTCAGCCTGATAGACTCCGAAAGGCTTACAGTGCTGCAGGGAGACAGGGATGTTGTGAATTGTGGTTCTGGATCCGTCCCTTCGGTTAATTTGGGCTCTCGCTGTTGAGGGATGCAACCAGTCGAACGTGGAAAGCACGAGCAAGCCTCACCTTCAGCAACCTTGGTCGTGGGATTTGGTCAGGCGTTAGGAAGTGCAAGGAAGTGCAAGGGTCTTTCCTGGGTGATTCTTCATTACTGGCAACATCACTGACGGAGCCTGCAAACCACACGCATTGAGAAAACGCTTAAACTGGACAGCCGGCCCGGATTTCCAGTTCGGAAACTCCGAACAATTATTGTTAAATCCATATTCGATTCCACATCCCATATTTCCTTCCTTCTTGGGTGATGCACGGCCAGCCGGCTCACCTCCCCAGGCCAAAGAATCACAAGCAAAGCCTAAATCAACAATGCCTACATCAAACCAGCGGATCAATGGCCTCTGGCTTCGGAGGATGATTGTTCTCCTGCGTGCATTCTTCAGTGTGTTAGGAATCAGGTGTCGGGTCAGGAGCTGAGGACGAGGTGAACTCCTGAGGACCGGGTTCCGAGTTACATACCCCCTCCAGCCTATCACAACCCAACGCTGGGCGGAGGTGCTGCGGCTGCGGCTACAATTTAACCATGGAGTCAGTCAGCACCTTGCAGTCCCGAAGAGCCTAACCTCGCAACCACTAACCAGCTCACACCACTCTGACAGAAAGCCATGGTGACCTGGTATCTCTATACGCTCCCATGTCCCAATACCCGACAGGCCCAGAGGCCCCTAAAGATCTCCTTCTTCAGGATATCAAAGGTCCAGATCAGTGTGTCAATTGGCAAATTGTTCTTCCGGGCCTCAGGGGCTCTGGGGGCTTCTGAGCTTTGGGCTTTTGGAGTCGAGAGCTTGGGCTGCTTGCCCCCAGCTTTGTCTCATAGGTTTCGGGATAGATAAACACATGGTCACAAGAGATGGGGTTATGGGTTCTTTGGCGGCTACAGCTAAGGTGGAGAAGCAAGCTTCGAGCAACTCCTAGGAAACTTTGGCCAAATCCTCAAAAGCTTGGCTAAACCAAACCTCACATCCGAGAAAATGGCACCCTCAAGCCTGAAACTCGAAAGTTGAGTTTCGCAAGGTGCCTGTGATTTCGAACCCGGGTTCACAAATGTCTGGAAAGCCCGTTCTTGAAGGAGACACTGCGAGTATACTATACCTACCGACTCCAACTCATAATCCGAAAGGCCCTATAAGCCCCCGAGAACTCTCTGATGTTGGGTTTGTGGGTTTCCAGGGACTGGGAGGAGCCGCTTACACCCGTTCTGCTGCTCACGGATTTGACGAGTGCTCGGGATCGACCCCGCATTGAAGAATTGCTTGAAGAGGCGAATGACGACCTTACTTTCCTGAAGCCGTGGGAGGACTCTCCTCTAGCCAGAACTTCAGTAGCTCAGGGCCGCGTCACGAAATTCTGCAGCTGTCCGGTGAGGAAGGACTGCGTGAAGAAGAAGCCCGACAGCCAGTAGTTGGCGGGATGGCCGTTGTCCATCCTGGCACAGAGCGTCAGACCTAGAAGTCGGACTCGGGCCTTGCATCCATGGAGCAATGACAAAGGGACAGTATCGAGGGAGAGTATGCCTGTGGATTATGCCATGCATGCACCTCCCAATGCAGGGTTGACATGAGCTGACATCATCTAAGAATCTCAGAATACAGGCAAGTCTCCAGTCGGTGAAGAAGTTCATCCTTGCAACGAGGTCCGCCACATAGGAGGACATAGGCTTCAAAGATGGATAGGACACCTTCTTCCAGAACTCAGGCCTTAGCAACTTTCCACCATGGATCTCGAAACGCTGAGTGTAAGCAAGTTCGGGTTGAAGGCCGACCAAGCTAACAAATAGCGAAACGTGCGTTCCAGCGGCTGCTTGTTCAGCAGGATGCCATTAGCGACGTCGTCCAGATCCTCGAGATAATGTCACGAAACGCCAAGTCAGATTCGTACAACGTGGGCCAACAGCCCGAACTGCACCAGAACTCACTACAGCAATGCGAGTTTCAACAGGCCGAGCACTTCAACAGTTGCCGAGTTGCTGGGCCCATGATGACCAAGCCCTTCACCGCTTTGCCTAGCAATAGCAGCGCCAGTGCTAGGATCGTACGGGCTAAACCACGGCAACGGCTGCAGATTGTCCAGCGATGAAATCCCAGATCGCATCCCTGAAGGCCGTGCTTGCCCTATTGTTAAGCCTCATTCCCAAGAATAAGACCGGCCAGATCCCAGAAAGGCGATGGCCGCTGCGTCCAAGCAAAACCGAAACTAACCCCTGAGCAGAACATCAAGTGGTCTTCAGACCCACAGCTCCATGGGGTGGTATGTACATATCAGCATGCCTGTCCAAAGGCACATTCGCAAACTCCAATAAACGCTCAGCTAGGCGACCGATATCGACCAAACTCGCCCGCACGCGGAGGAGCAGCTTGTTAAATCGGAGAGCTTCCTGATTCACCACGGTATTCCTTGGCTTGTCATGTCCATTGCAAGGAGAATGGGTGGGAGTCTTGGCAAGACTGACCGTTCGGCTTCTGCGAGTTAACTTGCTTGAATCGGCCCAGAACTCAGTTCCGTTCGACCACGGATACGCCTCCAACATGATCTTGGTCAAACCGAAACAGGACCGCCAAGCATCATGGACTCATTGTAGTCGGTGGGGTACTTTGCCACCAGCCATTCTGTGTCGAAGGGAGGACCTGGCTTGGCACTCGTTGGACGGTGTTTCCCGGCTCAAAAGCAACCTTGGGCCCTCCAGAAACCGACGTGCACAACTTCGCTTCTTCGCTGAATTCATGCCGAATCTCGGACTTCTGTTAGGAACTTGGTCGAGAGCTCTGTCAGGATCTGGTCCTTAGGTGGCTACTGGATTCACACCTGTCTCAAGGCCTCCTGAAATCGGCAGGACTATCACCTGTGAGGTTTTGGGGAGAAGGATTCTTGGCTTTCGTATGCGCAGGTGTTGCGCCTTCTAATTTCGACTCTCACACTCGCCAATGGTCTGGGTCTACCAGCATTCAGCCATTCAATTCACGACACTCTCAACCCTGCCCGTGCCCGAATACGATTCGGAGAGCCATCTGTCCCTGCCGTGAAAACAACCTCAACAACCCGAGTGCTTCAAGGTATGGCAAAGTCTGTAAAGCTGTGAAAACCTGCCTACCAGCTGTCTGACTGGTCCGATTTTGCTTGCTCATTGGTCCGTTTTATACATGCATACATACATATATATATATATGTATAATATATATATACATATATATATAATGTATATGTATATGTATATGTACATGTATATGTACATGTATATGTCTTCTCTTCTTCCACACAGCCAAAGGAAGCGCAGTCACGCTCCCCCGCACGCAAGCGCGCACTGTGAGTCTCAGTCTCTGTGCGACACTGCCTCTGGATTCGGCACAGCGGACCAACAACTCTGCGAACCCCCAACCCTCAACTTAACCTATAGAACCCCCGCCTCATCCTGAGGTTGGCACCAGTTCTGGTCCCCACACTCGCATTTTGTTGTAATATTTACAACTCGTGGGGTTCCGTTCGTCTAACAAGCAAAGCAGTGAGTACGCATGAACATGTTAGACAACACCATTGCACATGTCATCGGTCCCCCCGTCTGTCAGCTCTACCTACATCAGCAGCACATCTGAGGCCCGGGCAAAAACATGCAAACACGATCGACACTCTAGACCTTGCAGTCACTGTCTCCCCTCAGGGCTGTGCCCCCCCAGCTGAACTGGCTGCTGCTACGAACCGCCTTCGACGGTGGCTACTCTCACTGCGGCTGCCCCCCTCAAAAGACCCTGTGGCTTCTTCTGCTCGCACCGCTTCGTGGGCTTCCCCCTGTTCTTGTCTTTCGTATTCTTCCAGTGCATCCAGGAGGTCGCCATCTGTAGGGAAGCCCGGTTCGCTGGTTTGTGTGCCCCCATCATCAGCCGATGAGGGCACACTCCCCGGCCATTGCTCCACGTCCAGTGGCGGTATCCACGGGATTGCCCCCGAAGCTTGAGGAGCTGCCTCCCCCTGGCCATCTGTCGTTTGGGTGTCGACTTCAACGATCTCTTCCGGTCGTTCGGCTGCGCGCCACACTTGTATGGCTGCCATCAGTTGGCGCACCTCTTCGTGCCCCGCGGTGACGAAGTTCATGACCCCGCCTATATCTCGTAGTAGCCTGTCCAGCTGCTGCCCCCAGTCCCCCGTTGGCTGTGGAGGTGCCTCTTGTGCCCCCTCTGAAAGAGCCGCAACGTCAGCAGGGTGAACGAAGTCCAGTTGCCCTTCTTCCTCCAACAACTGCTCCGCGTCCTCGAGCAAGACCACGACTGCTTGTCCCCAACCTGGCACATGCCAATCGAGGTCGCCTTCCACGGTAGCTGAGAGCGCCGTTTGCACCGCCGCTTGCGCCTGTGCGAGGCCTTGGTACCCCTGTTGCACCTGGTACCCCCACTGGTTGCGGGTAGCATACTGCAGCAACTTGTCCCCCACTGTCAGGTCGCAGTATGCTTGTTCGAGGTCATGTCGCACTTGGTGCTGGTTGAGGCCGTCGACGTCGTCTTCTTCGGTGAGGTCTTGGAGCCGCATTCGGGCCACCGACAGCGAGTTCATAATTCGCCGTTTCTTGGTAGGTCCCCCAGCGACACCGCCATTCTCGCACGTCTCTGGCTCCCTTTTGCTGCGCCCCACGGCTTGAGAGGCCATCTCGAGCAGCACCGGCATGTTGTCCACCACTCGCCGTTGTTGCAGTAGGGCTGCTAATTCGCGAAGCCAGTGTCGCACCATGGCTGCTGCGTTCGGCAACCTTCGCGGCTCCGGCCGCCGAAAAAGCTGCCCCCCATGGCTGGAAGAAGCTATGCTATCATCGAGCTGAGTGTGCTGCATCATGTGTGTCTCGTCCCCTTCTGTCTGTGTGTCATGCGTGGCAGTGGTGGTGTGGGGTGGGGTCAGTGTCCCCCCCTGTGGTGGTGGTCCCCCTGGTTGCTGCTGCTGTGGGTTGCTCGGTGGTGGGCTGGGCTGTGGCTGCGGCTGTGGGTTGGTGTCGGGGCCCCCCTCGGAGTGGTCAAAGGTGGGGTTGAGCACTGGGTGGCGCACCTGGCTTGGGGACGGTATGAGCTGTGCTGTGAGCTGTTCCCAGTGGCTGGGTGGTAGTGTCCATGTTCGCGGCAGCCCCCAGTAGATAGCGCCGGTGCCCCTCATATTCCCCCAATCATAGAAGTATTGGAGTGCGAGCTTGGGCTGAAGCCGCCCTAGTTGCCACCCCTCCTCCCCCCTGCGCCTTTCCAACGTGTAGCTGGTTCCCACCGGGAGCTCTGTGGCTTCAGCATCTGGCTGGGCGGTCGTGGCGGTGATGTGGACGAGCCACTTGACGGGCTTGCCGTGGGTGATAGCCCCCCAGGGGAAGAGGGCGAACGCCGTCCCCACCGCGGCGGGTCTCCCCCCGTTTCACGCCGGCTAAGGCGCACCCGGTAGAACCCCCTCTGGTTGTCGTGGTAGTCGGGAGACCTTCGGGAGTGCTGGACCATCACGATCCCGGCCCAAACTCCATGGGGGTAGCTTCGCATATGGATTTCGGCCCCTCTTTCGACGAAGAGCTCGGGTGGGAAGGTAAGGGGCCGCGGTGCGCCGCCATGGGAGATCAGCATCGTGTGGTACAAGCCGTCCCATAGCGTTGTGTCATCGTCCTGTGGTGGCGGGGGCTGGGTGCTGCTGCTCGCCTCTCTGCGCCTTCTGGGGTCCCCTTGGGGTTCCCCCGCTGCTGCTGTCCTCTTGGGTTGCTCCTTCTGGGCTGCCGGTTGCTGCTGTGTGTGTGTCGGCGCTGGTCCGACCGTCCCCCGAAACAGGTTGTGTAGGTTGAGTAGCAGCCCCCAGTTGACCTCCCCTTGGCCTTGCCCCCCCCCTGTGCTTTGCGCTGCTGCTGGTGGCTGCTGTCGTTGGCGGGGTCTCCTTGGGCCTGCTGCCAGCACTTTCGCCCAGACTTCTTCGTCGTCGTCCTCATACAAGTCGACGAGGTGTGCCACTTGTTTCCATGTCTGGTCGTCCCGTTTGTCCCACCCCCTTTGGGCAAACGCCGTCTGGACTGCAGCCTTGAAGCGCTTCCCTCGCATTCTTTGATCTCCTCTTCCTTCGTGGTAGGGTTTGTCCGGTCCCCCCCCCTGTCGGCCGTGGGCCGGAGTGTCCTCCAGCTCCTGTCCCGGTGGTATCCCCCCTTGGCTGGTTGCTGTGTTGTCGGGCTCCTGTGTGTTGCTTGTCCCCCCGCTGGTCGCTGCTTTGGCTGGCGCGGCTGCGTGGTCTGCCCCCGGTGGTTGCTCGTGCGAGCTGCTGGCGTGGTGTTGGTCATCAGTCGGTGTGGCTGACGCCACGGGTGTGGCTTGCTGCGTCTGCGGTGCAGCTGCTGCGTTGCTGTTTGCTTCCCAAGGCGGTGGTCCCCACGTGTCCGTGGCGGTGTCTGCGGTGGCTGGTTGCTCCCACGGCGGTGGCTCCCAGGTGTGGGTCTGCTCTGCTGACACTGGGGGTTGCTGGGCAGGGTGTGCTCCCCCACTTGGTGGTTGCATGTGCGACGCCTGGTTGGTAGGTGCGGCTGGCTGCGGCTGCTGTGGGGGCGGATGCTGTGCTAGGGCTGTACCCCATCTGTTGCGGATGGGCTGGGGTACCCCTTGTGCTGTCGTTGCGTGCTGGTGCGCCGCTGGCTGCATCGGGTCAGTTCCTGCTTGGGCTGTGGGCGTCGTCGGGGGGTGATAGGTGAGGGTGTACCCCCATCGGTTGGTGTCGGGGGGCTGCATGTAGGTGACTGCTTGTGGCTGTGGTTGGTAGCAGGCTCTCGGCGCTGTTGGTGTCATTCCGAGTGCTGGCTGGGCTGGTGGCCGGGGGGTGGGTTCGTCAAGCTCGTCTTCCCAGGGGTCGTAGGGGAAGGTATATGCCTGGGCTGTTGGGGTGGCGGTGTTGCAGGTGGCGAGGTGGATGTGCTGTTGCGTCCCCTGCCTTGCGAAAGTCTGGCCGTGTGGCCGCGTAGGAGGCTGCGGTTGCTGGGGGTGTTCGTGGGCGTCCTCGTGCCACGGATCAGTGTCCGGGTCGTAGGTGGGGGCGTAGTATCCCCATGCATCTTTGGGTGTGCGTCCCGGCATCCAACTATGCGGGTGTGTGGTCTGGTGGCTCCCCCCCTTGGTGTTGTTGTGTGTGCGATGACAGTGCTCCCCCTTGCGTGTTTGCTGTCGCCTGTGTGTGGATCGGCTGCTGCCAGGCTGCTTGTGTCATGTGTGGGGGCGGGGGCTGCTGCAGCTGTGTCTGGCTGTTCGCCAGAGGGCTGACCGGCCGGGGTCGGGACGTGTTGGCTGGGGACGGTGGCTCCGCCAGTGTGCGGGGGCGCGTCGGAGCAGGTCGGGGGCGTCTCCTTGTGGCTCTCCGTGGTGGCGCTGTGGGTTGCAGTGAGGCCCTCGTCGCTGTGTGCGACTCTGGTTGGCTGTGACTGCTGTTGTGTTGGGTCTTGGGCCAGGGCTACGCTGCTGCTGCTGCTGCTGTCTCCCCCAGCTTGGGTGGCTGTCGGCTGGCTTGGTGCTGGGTCTCCTTGCGGCTCTGGGTCTGTGTCTTCAGCTGGCGTGGCATGGCTGCGCAGTTGCAGCGTGGGTGCTTGCTGCTGCGTGTGCGGCGGGGCGGGTGGCGTAGCACCGGGTCTGTACGTTTGGGACCAGGGGTCGTCGTCTCCAGGGGGTGTGCTTGCTGGTGCTGCTGGTGTGGGCTTAACCGTTCCGGTGCCACCTAGCTGGGCTGTTCCCAGCACGAATATGAAAAGCTTTGCATACCACTGGAGTGGCATGGTGTCGAGCATGTGTGTCCTCAAGGTTTTGAGCACT